GTTCAATCCTGGTGTTGTATCCAGTGCAGCACTACTGTTTTCCGCCAATGAGGGCCTGTTATGAAAAAAAGTGGCCAGCCACAAAGAAACTCTGAAATCCTTTTCTTACCATTTTCTTTGGGATATGGGTTCAGCTGCAAGAAATGGGTCTGGTGCCTTGTCATCTTTTGACATGGTGGGGCTGTAGCCATTCATGGATGCCAAGGCACTCCCTCTCCCTCTTTGGCTTGTGATACCTCACACTGCTGGCTTGGCACTTTGTTTGACATCATAGAACTTGTGGTCATTTGAAATGAGAGGTCCAGTCATTTTGAAAAGTGATTTTGTTTGTGAGTTTAAGCTCATAATAATAGTTTTGACAACACAAAAACGGTTTTAACTTAAGAATAGCAAGACAAAATTGGGAGCATCTTGAGAAATGGCAGATTAAAATACCATCATAATGAGAGATATGATGCTGTAACCAGGCCATCAAGTCAAGGTCTGGAATGACCAATTTCTATCATGTACATGTTTTGGTACACTTACTTTATCGCGTACGCGTATGCGATGACTACGCACATTTTTTTCGGTACTTTCCTGAACGGTTGGCACACAGAACCATAAAAGGAAAAATCACAGCTGCTGGAATTTAACTGGACAAAAAGTCAATTTTTATTCTTTACACAAGCAATTCCGAGGGGCTGTTTGTCACATCTCAGTGTGGAGAGTGCCCTTCATCTCTTCCTGTCATACCTGTAGACCCATCACTTACTTTATCACATACACATTCACAATGACTACATGTTTGACCTACCAATACTTAGTTTATCATGTACACCTACATGATCTAGAAAATCAGAACTTTGCTTGTTTTGTGTAAGTGCTCCTCTGCACAACCTCAAACTGCACCTTGCTTTTGCTTTCATACCCTCCATCAATTCCATAATCAGTGGCCAACATGCTGCCCTCACATCCAGTTCATGTTCAACCTCACACCATATTCAGTTGGTTGCACACATGCACTGAACTTCATTCTTCACATTTGTGCTGAATTGGAGCACTATTCCTGAAGTTAAAATTCCACTCCATTCCACACTGCTAAAATCACTTTTAACTCCACAAATTCCAAGTTTTTATGAAATCATTTTCATCTCAAATCCCTCAATATGACTTATAAGCAGCGGTCTAGCATGTCAAAATCACACATGCATATCCATATCTTCAAAACTGCCCTATAAATCAAAAATGTCAAATCTCACACAATTTTAGCACAACAAAAATTCCACAGTCATTTGTGACCTCTCATTTCAAATGACCACAAGTTCTTATAGGAGATCATCTTCCTGATGGGACAATCCATCTGCCAGTGGCCATGACCTGGCATGATGTTCATGCCATGTGTGAAGCCAATCACCCTCCCACCACACCTCTCCTCACCTATTCTGCACTAGTCCACCACATTTCCAAGCACTATCCTAATGAACCAGAACAAATGTGCAAATATCTTCAGCCTATGTATGTTAAACTCTCATTCTTTTCCTCAACATCTTTGCTCTATGTGACATGAATGGAAGATGAAGTGTTACTCCAGGGACTCAGCCACAGGACTGGCCTTGGTGCTACAAGTGCAGATTTCACCATGACAGCAAAGACAAGAGAGCAGAGAGGCGTGCATACCCCTGAGGAAGTCACTGAAGCCAATCTCCTCATCAAGACCCAGGCTCATGGACAGACCCACTGTGAGTGGAACAGTATGTCCTTTCTGTTTGCTTTGCACTTTTCACACCTATCAACAGATAAGTGGTGTGCATATCTTGAGCTAAGGCAAATGATATTGTCAAAAAATACCTGGACTCTGGGGAATAAAAGATGCCTTCCAAATCATCATAGCATCATGGTGAACTGTACAGTGCACACACTCTCTCTCATCTCTTCTCTTGTCTTCTCTTGTAGCTCCTCTATTCCTTTTGTTCAAAGAGTCATCTCAACAAAGCTCCTTCCTCATGGATAACTGCTTATGCACATGCACACACCCCCACCTGCATGGCCTCATCCTCTGATGGTCTCACTGGTCTCACTCCCTCTCTGGGTGACATTCATCATCTGCATCATGATCATGTTTCCCACATTGTAATGATGGTAACTCATGTGAGCAGCAACAACTTTAGGTTTTTAACAAAAAAAGTAACAGTTTACAAGATTTGACAACAATTGTCAAAAAGTAAAGTGGTGGCAACAGTGATGTCTCATTCCTTTTTTGTCCTCACTCAAGAATGTGAAACAGGTGTGGGGCACAAATGAAACAAAAGTGGGGGTGTGGAGCCAAACACAAACAGCAAGGTTGAAGTGACATCAACTGGACAAAAAGGAAATTACCCATACCTCTCAACTTGCCTGCTTCAACATTGAGAAAGCCAAAGAGCACCATCACCCTCTCTACCCTCACCTTCAAGTCTTTTGCCACCACCTCAGCCACAGCAGTTACAGCCCTGTCTACCACATGGCCACCCTCAACCTTGTAACAATCCATAAGATGAGGCAGCTCTTGTGTTCCTATGGTGGCACAACAAGTAGCAACTGATGAAAAGATCAATCTATTGTGTAGTGTGTTGGTTAGAACATAACCTTACCCTCACTGGTAACTTCCTCTCCTCAAGTACAAGCCTATCTAGACAATATGTAAGGTGATGTTGTCCACAGAAGAATAAAACCAATGCTTATGGCAGTTCTTGGGTACATCAGCCAAGCTGGCCATCGCCCCACAGCAATGGTCTTGCAGCACATGTAGGTGCTGCTCAGATTCAGGACTACATGATCATCACCATAGGCTCTCAGTTCAAGCCAGTTACAGATCAACATGTTAGGTTGATGTGTGTGCAGTGTGACGTCTTGTCACACACAGCATTGGCAGACACACTCATCCTCACCCAGGCAACACTCTGATCAAGTACTTCAATTCATCTGCATCACACTTTCACGGATGGTCTGTGGGTATGTTCAGTTCTTGCTGAAAGCTGTGATGTTATGTGGCCTGCCACACACACACAACATGTGGGGTGGCAAGTCTTGCATTGCCTTCCTCTTCCTTGCACATCATGATCTCACTCGCCACCATGTTACAGGATTCTCACCTTGCTGTTCTTGCTGCTGGTGCTGGCACTTCCCTCTCACATTCACACAAAGAGGATGATCATTCTTGCTCTCTTTCATGTGCCACTGGGGCTGCAAATGTCACAGAGCTGGGGAGAGTGTTAGTAAACACAAAACACTCCTGACACATGGTGCATGTGAGGTTTGGGATGTATATGTACTAGGAGGCCAAGGAATAGGTAGAAGAGGTGTGTATATATAAAATAGCCATTGACCAACACAAACTTGGATCTAGATAAAGGGGTTGGAGATAGGGAAGTGGGAACAAAGGGAGAACAGTATTGACACGTATAGGAGGAGTGGGATGTGGGCATGAGTCTGCATCTCACTCCTCCCATACTAATCAGGCTTGTTGTGTCAGTGACATTTCAATTTCTGTCAAGGCATGTGCAACAACACCTCAGTAGAGGCATCCTTGAGTTTTTCATGTAGGTAGCAGGGAAGTAGCTCATCATCCTGTAGATCCTCTTCATTGACCCATGTGTTGTACCAGGCCATGTGCCCTGCATATCAGACAAGGAACTGCCACCCACACTCTCCTCAAGGTCAGTCATTGAGGATGGCCTCAATCTCAATGTCTTCACCATCATCTGTGTCTCTGGCCTGTTGATCTCATAGCCATTGCATGAAGTCAGCTAGGCCCTCATCTAGTTGGCACAGCTTGACACGTCAGACACTGACTACTTGTTGGTCATGCAGGTTGTTGACATGCTGGAGGGCCAACACCAGCTGCCCCCTCGCCTCACTTACTTGGTAGGGGCCTTTCTACATATGTGCAAGCTTGGCCATCTTGCCACAAGGGAGGTGGGCTGCCTGGAGCCACACCTTGTCCCCAGCGTGGTAGTGGCTCTGCTCTTGTTGGAAGTCAAATGCCCTTTGATCTGATTGCTGCACCCACTCTTGGTTCACATGTGCGTAGGCGTGAGCATCATGTAGTTGATTCACCAGCTCACTCCTGTGTCACTCAGGTGTTGTGGCTGATCTGCTCTTGATTGTGTGGCTTGTGATATTGATGGGTAGGTAGGGGTAGTGGCTGTAGAGTAGATAGAATGGTGTGTCCCCTGTGGCCTTGTGAGTGCTGGTCTGGTATGCAGAGAGCACATATGGCAGGAGGTTGTCCCAGTTATCCTGGTGGTTGTTTCTGAACTTGGCCAGCAGGTTCTTGAGTGTGCTGTTGAACTGCTTGACCAGTCTGTCTGTCTGGGGGTGGTAGGGTGTCATGTTGACCTTGCACACTTGCAGAAACTCATTCACATAACACACAATCTCACTGAGGAACTGCTTGCTGTGGTCAGATAGTAGTGCCTCAGGTGCCCTGTGCCAGCAGATGATCTGCTCAACGTAGACACAGGCCACCTCAGCCATGGCATTGGGTAGCACATAGGCCTCCAGCCACTTGGTGAGGTAGTCTACAAACACAAGAATGTGCTTGTTCCTGTGGTGTGATTGGGGTAGTGGTCCCAGATCAACCAGATGGGTAGCCACCTGCCTGACCTGCCAACAGTGAAACAATCCCAAAGGTCGAACACTGGGGCTACTCCAGTCAATACCAGTGGCAAGCCAGCCATTGGTTATCTCTCAATCTGGGAGAACATCCCACACCACCAGTAGTGTTGTTTGGCCCACTCAATCATCCTCTTTTCTCTGAAGTGTCCAGCCAGTAGGTCATCATGCATGGCCATCATCACTGTCTCCATGAGGGCTGTGGGCACCACAAGCTGGCAGCAGGTGTCAGTGCACCAGTCTCCTCACCATGTCCACCAGAAATGTCACAGGAGGCTGTCTTTGTCAAGGTCCATCTGTCCAGCTTTGAGGATGATGTGCTGGCTCAGCTTTGGGTTGTCAGGCAGCTCCTGCCGCTTGAGGTAATGAATGAGCAGTTGCAGGTCAGGGTCCTCCCTCTGCAGCCATTGGATGTTGTTGATGGAGAGCTCCTTGTGCTTGGTGTCCTCCATGGCCTTGGGGTCCTCTTGCTTGATGTGGTCCTCCTGTTCAGCCAGCGCTATCCAGCCCAGGCCCCCTTCTTCAGCTGGCATTTCCTCACCTGATGCTGCTAGGTCCTCCTGCTGTGACAATGTTGGTCTTGCTGTGATGTGTGGTGTTGTGTTTGTGGCTGGTTGGCCTGCTGGCTCTGTGTTTGACTGGTCTGTGTTGATGGTCTGTATGACAGCTAGACCACCTGACCACTCCTTCCTCCTGACTGTAGTGTGTGTGACTGGAGGGGTCCTTTGATCCCCTCATCACTGCCACCACTAGGTCTGGCTGCTCCTTGTGGGCCTTGCTGTTGTTGATGGGTCCATGTGTCATGGTGTTGGTGTTTGTGTGGTGTAGTCCTGGTTGGTATTGGACTTAGAAATTGTGCTCTTGCAGTGTGAGAGCCCACTGGGCGAGTTGGGGGTCATGCTGGGTGCTTATCCACACAAGTGGGTTGTGGTCAGTGACCACAGTGAAGTGATGGCCATGGAGATAGTGTTGGTACGCCTTCACCCACTCAAACACCACTAGGCACTCACAGTGCATCAGGGAATATCAATGCTCAGTGGCTTTCAGGATGGCCGTCACTCAACTCCTGTAGGCAATGACACACTTGTGCCTGTTGTTGTCTGGTTGGGTGAGTACCACGCCAATGGCGTGTGCCAAGGCGTCCATGTGCAGTGTAAAGGGCCAGTCTTGTTGCAGTTGTGATGACAGGCGCAGCAGTGAGGTGCTGCTTGAGTGTCTCAAAGGCCTCCTGGTGCGCCTGTCCCCAGTAGAAGACTACTCACTTGCCTGTGAGGCGGTGGAGTGGCTCAGTGAATCCCTCAATGAATTGTCAATAGTAGTTGGCCAGTCTGAGGAAGCAGCGCACCTCCTGAGCTGACTGTGGTGGCTGTGTGTCCTTGACAGTGGCGACTTTGGTGGGGTCTGGCTTGAGGCCTTCCTTTGTCAGGAGGTACCTGAGGAATGGCAATTCCTGTCAGAAGAAAACGCACTTGCTTGGCTTCAGGTACATCTGTCCCTACTGGAGATGGTCAATGATGGCCTGTAGGTGGGCCAGGACTGTGAGTAGATGACGATATTGTCTATGTACATGAGGCAGCATGACCATGTGAGGCCCCTGAGTAGTGCCTCCATGTTCCACTGGAATAAGGCTGGCGTGTTGGTCAGCCCAAAGGGCATGACATTGAACTTGTAGAGTCTGCTGCTGACTGAAAAGGCCATCTTCTCCTTGTCCTCCTTGTGGAGGGTGACTTGCCAGTAGCCTGAGGTCCATGCTGGACCTGTACACAGAGCTGCCCACTCAATCAAGGAGCTTGTCAATGAGTGGAAGTGGGTATGTGTCATGCTTTGTGATGCAGTTGAGGTCTCAGTAGTCCACACAGAACCGCCATGATCTGTCGTTCTTGATCACAAGCACAACAGGGAACGACCAGGGGCTGTTGGATTCTTGCATGACACCAGCATGGTGCATGCACTCCACCTCTGACTTGAGGACCTTGCACTCCTTGAATGATGACTGATAGGGATGGTGCTTGATTGGTCAGTGCCCCTGTGTGTTGATCTCATGGGGGATCATGAGAGCCTGCCCTGGTGTCAGCTTGACGCTGAAGAGGTCCCCATTCTTCAGTAGGAGGCTGTGCAGCTGTTCCTTCTGGGTGTGGGAGAGGTCTGTGTCAGCCCATCCTACCAGCTCATCAGCCTCCATGGTGCTGAGACCCAAGCTAGCTTCATTGGTCACAGGCATTGGCTCCCACTCAAACCATTCAGGCACTGGCCCCACTTCCTCCATGTCAAACACCAGGATGACAACAGGCTCTGCAATGGGTTCCACTACACTGACCTGTGTGCCCATCCAGAGGTTGGCCATGGCCTTGGTCAGGTTCAATATGTGCACCCACATGTGCATCCCATCTTCTGCCTTCCATGCCATGGTCAAGCCTCATGCAGTTGCTAGCCCTGAAGTGGGGTCTAACAGCATGGTGGGGTTGACAGCTGACACTAACACATCATTGTCAATCAGTGACACACTCAGCAGCCAGCCACCCACTCAACACTCCACCAGGGCAACAGTCATGGGCAGGAGGGTGACCTCTTAGACAGTGTCCACCAAGTAGATCAGGGTCAGCAACTTGAACAGCACCCTGGCACCTCTGATCTCAACAGCCCACCCAGCATAGTCCACCCTCAGCCCACCCAGGCGGTGGAGGGCGTTGTTGCCTATCAGCATAGGTATCTGGCCACAGACAACCACAAAATGCACCACTGCCTGTGTGCCATCATGCACATGCCACCGCACTGTCGGCCACCATCGAAGTTGGACCAGACAGCACCCCCACCCCATGCAGCTGCAGGCATTCTGCCCTACGGTGGCCCGCCTGCCAGCAGTGCCAGCACAACAAGGGTGGCCGTCCTGATGGCGCCACTCACTCAGCTGTGAGTCACACCACAGCCTCTGTGAGTGTGGCAAGCTGCTTGGCCAATGACGGACCCATGGGCACGGCTGCCACAACGGCTGCAGCCTGTTGTGTGATCTTGTTGGACTTGTAGTGGTTGAGCTGGTTGCAGAGCACCTTGTACTTGACCAGTGGAAAGAGGTCTATGTAGTTGTGGAGGTCCTGGCGCAGGCTGCTGTGCCAGAGCTCATTCAGGTCGACGAGGGAGTTGGCCTTACTACGAAGGCGCGCCACCTCCTTGCCAATGCACAGCCAAAAATCACTGGCACACTCCCCTTTCTCCTGATGGCATGCCCTAACACAACACACAAGGGCCTCCACAGTCGGCAGGCCATACCACCGCTCAAGCCCACTGAGCAGGGCCACAGCACTACGCATAGTGGCAGCCAGCTGCACACTCATCCACTTCATAGCCACGCCAGCCAGGGCATAGGCCACAACAGGGGCAAACTCACTGTCGTCGTAGCCATGACCTGCATGATGAGCAGCTGGTCCTTCCACACATAGAAGTCCTCGCCATCCACACCCAAGAAGGTCAGCAGTTGTTTGAACAGCACCTTGGGCTTGCTCCACAGCGCTGGCTTGCCACCGCCCTTGGTCACCGCCTTCATCACAGCCCACTCACTGAGCACGCCAGGCAACACCACTCCAGAATTGAGCAGCTCCACTAGAGCCACAAGGGCGTCCTGGCCCTCCGCTGCCTCTGGGCCACTGGACACAGACAGGCCACTAAACCCCTCCATATTGGGTGCGGGTGGAGTCGTACTGTTGAGGAGCGCACATGACAAAAGCACATGTTCCTCAAGTGATCAAACGCCAAGGAAGTCGCGACAAAAACCACCATCAACATCACAATGTGTGTCCGTTGAGAAATGTAACTCCGGACACACCTCACCAATAAATGGGCCACGGAGACAACAACTCAGTTGTCTCTCGTCTCTCTCTCACCACACAAGCACGCTCTGCTCAACACGTACAAGCGCCGGGGCTAGGTCCTTTGCCCTTGAGATCGTCCGCCGGCTCCTCCTCTCCCGAGTCGCTCTCGCCGGACGCCTCGCTCTCGCCGTCCGACCTTCTTAGTTTTCTTGGCCAACCGTACGGACATACGCTAGCCGTTGTCGCCAAAGTGACACGCGGTGCGCGTGAGGTTCGGGACGTATATGTACTAGGCCAAGGAATAGGTAGAAGAGGTGTGTATATATAAAATAGCCATTGACCAACACAAACTCGGATCTAGATAAAGGGGTCGGAGATAGGGAAGTGGGAACAAAGGGAGAACGGTATCGACGCGTTTTGGAGGAGCGGGACGCGGGCACGAGTCCGCATCTCACTCCCAATGGTAGAGAAAAAAGTAAATGTTCGACGATAAAACCCCCATTGGCTTTCGCCTCCACGCCAAGAAAGGTTCTCTCGGGGTGCCCGACAGATATAGTGGGCAGAAGTGGCAGAAGTGTGGGATAAAAAGCCCCGGTCTCCGCCGTAAAGGACACTCTCACTCACACTCACCTCATTCTTAACACCCAGCACTCAATGGAAGTCGTCGATCACACCACCATGACCATCTCTGCCGGTTGCAAACTCGCGACCAACCTTATCTCTCTGCTCGATGGAGACAAGAACGCTCTTATCTCTCCGCTCGGCGTCCAGCTGGCGCTGGCCCTCGTTCTGTCGGGCAGCGCTGCCGGCGAGACCGCAAACCAGCTCCTAACGGCCATGGGTTTTAGCTCCGAGCTGGACCGGGAGCAAGTGGTCTCTGCCATGAAGGATCTGGTCGCTGTACGTCCACTATCTCTCTTCGTTGCAAGAAGTGGTCCCTTTTAACTCCGAGCTCTATTGTTCTTCTTCATATAGGACATCAAGCACTCCGAGAAGGCTGCGTTGTCGCTGGAGAACAAATTGTGGGTGGACACCACGCTGCCGCTCGACCCCGCGTTCACCGCGGGTCTCGCCGGCCTCGCTGCCAGGGCCTGGGCCGCCAACTGTGCCGCACTTGACCGGGAGCAGGTGGAGCTCAGCGCATTCCTGGCCAAGATCAACCGACCGCGCGAGCCCCCTCGGTATGACTCCGCTCCACGTCCAAGCCTGGTGTACCATTGTCACACGCTAACATGCAACACGACCCTCCTCTTTGACAGCGCGTTCACCGAGACCAACGGCTTGGCGGTGATCAACGGCGCTTGGTTCAAGGGCGAGTGGGAGAACAAGTTCCCCAGAGAGAACACCAAGGCCGCGCCCTTCCACCAGCTCGGGAGCGACGACGTCTCCAAGGCGGAGGACGTCCAGATGATGTGCCACCCGTCTGCGTCGGTTGCGCACGGCACCTTTGAGCACCACGCGATGGTGAGCCTTCCCCACGAGAACTCCCTGCTGCGCCTGCTCGTCCTGCTGCCCCACGTCAACTCAGCCGATGGCCTAGCTGCGGTACGTACGCTTGGCTTGGGCGGGAGTGTCACTTCGCGAGCATGGTGTCTCACCGAGTGGACGCGCGACAGGTGCGAGCCTCGCTGATCAGACTGCCGGAGCAGTACAAGCAGCTTGTCGAGTATCGGCGCAAGTGGGTCGAACTGCAGCTGCCCAAGTTCCAGGTGTCCATCGAGCAGGAGCTCTCGCAGGTGCTCAAGTCGATCGGCGTCGCCGTGCCGTTCGCCCAGGAGAGCGCCGACTTCACCCGCATCACCGCGCAAGACCAGTCAGCCGACCCCGAGTACGCTCGCCTCTTCGTTGCATTGGAACTCAACGCATGACTCACGTGGCCCCCCATCTATCCCTTAGGAGGTCGCTGCTGCACATGGGCAAGGTGGTACACAAGGCGCGCCTCATGGTCGACGAAGCCGGCATCAACATCCATGATGTGCCGCCAGCTGCGGTAGCCTCGGGCGACACATTCAGCCTGCCTGCGGCCCTGCGCTTCGTTGTGGACAGGCCGTTCGTGTTTGTGCTCTACCACGCGCAGTTTCACTGCCCCGTCTTAGTGGGCCAGGTTGTTCAGCCCACTACGCTGTAGGCAGCGCACACACGAGCAAGACTTTGTTCTTCGTTCTTCGCTCTTTGCATCGTTCTTCATTCTTCAGCTCCGAGCTGTGCGTAAAAGTACAGTTATGCGTCGATCAGGAGACTCAATCGTTTGGTCTTACACGATGGCATCGTCGGCCATCTGGCTCTCACGTCTGAGGGTGGGCAGAGGGAGTCTGGTCACACAGCGCCGCGTCGGTGGTGCGCGTGGCGAAGAAGGACACCGTGCCCTTTCGCTCTGCACCGCGCTCGCCGAGGCTGCGCTTGGACGCCGTGGCCCAGGCCGTCGGCATCGGCGTCGGCGTGCCCTGTTGCTGTGGCGGTGGTGATGTGGCCGACCACGAAGAGGGCTTGGACTTTACAAACGCCGAGCGCGGCGTCTCTGGCTGCGCCTCGGTAATCGGCGAAGACGGCGTCGAAGACGCTTCCCTCCGCTCGCTGCCGACGACAACGCACGGCTCGCTGGCGGCTGCAGTCGCGGGCGCCACGCGCACGAAGTTGGTCGAGTTCGAACGCAGGAAGCTTCGTCGACTTCCGGCGGCCTGGGCGCCCAGCTTGAGTTCGGCTTCGCCCCACGAGCGGTTCTTCTCTATGGTCTCGCTGGTCGCAACGGCAACTGGCGCGGCAGCAGGCGCGGCGGAGCCTGCATCACTCAGCGGCACTTCCTCCTTGCCGCCGCTCCGGCCGGCCTTCTGCTCGACAAGGCGCTTTTGCATTTATTTGAGAACCAAGGGGTTAAAACTCTTCGTCCATTGTGAACACACACAGTGGAATCAGTATTGGAAGAAGCCTTAACGCCCAACTTAGTGTACTTGCACATTGGCCCTCAAGTGAGATCAGCTCCATCCAGGGGAAGGGGTTAGTGGCATTGTAGTGCTTCTCACATCCAAGTGCCATGAGCAGATGGTCTGTGACAAACTTGATGTACTGGCACATGAGGCCTGCGTTCATGCTGATGAGTGCCACTAGAAGAAGATGCCCTTGATGGTGGCAAACCCAATGAGGCATTCAGCAAAGGTGTCAACGCCCTCCTTTTCTACAAGAATGCCAAGGGAAACCAGAGATGTGTGATAAGCCATAAACCAAGTGTTCATGAAAAAGGGTCAGTGACCCTTTTTGCTTAGCACAAAAATCAACTATCTGTACAAAAAAGGCCACCATTTTGCTGTTTTTCATGAGGTTGGTGTACAAATCAAGGAAAGCTTGGGTATCATTTTCAGAAAATGTACAGAAGTGGAGGATGCTATTGAAGAAGAAATGACAAAGGCAGAATCCCTTTTTATGTACAGATTTCCCATCCGACGCGCGTCGGATTGCAATTTCGCCGAAATATGTGCATTTTTAAGGTCTTTTCTTGCATTATCCACACATTTTCCGTTCACATTTCTCAGATTAGGGGCACCAAACTGGCCGAAGTGTACTGATGACACCAATCTGTTTCTGGAGGGTGTGCAGATGCTGGTGTTACAGCCCTGACAATCTGTACATGCTGCCAGATAGTTAGTGAAAAAGAGTCACTGACCCTGTTTTGTGAACACTTGGTTCATACCACTGCCAGGGTGAGTGGTCAATGCCCTACCAACTGCTGAGTTCACTCCCAATTGGTACCTCATTGGTGTGAAGACAAAGTGCTAATTGGTTTTCTTGTCTCTTTTCTTTTGTATGAGTGCTAACAGAATGTAAGAACAGCATCTCTCTGTCTGTTAGCTGTGTTCTGTTAGCCAGCACTACAAGGTTAAAATTCCTTGGCCACAGCCAGGCAGCACTGAAATTTCTCTGTGCATGGGTGCATGGATTGCTGGAGGGTGGTGAGGGTAGTGTTCTGCAGTGTGTGCAGGAACTCCATGGGGTACCATATGACACTCATGCTATAACCCACATAGGCGTTGGTAACCATGTTGCACATCATGATCTTGTTGTTCATGCTCAGATGCTTGTGCCAGAGGAGTGCCTGGTATTTGGTCACTTTATTTTTGAGGTATACCATTTGGTTGTTCCAGGCCATGTCTAGATTAAGCCACACACCCATGTATTTGTAGGAT